AATCTCACACTCTTCGGTGCATCGATGTCATGTCTGATTGTTATCGTTATTATTATCATCAGCTTTTAATCTATAGTGCATTTGAAGCGTGAAGCGCACTCGAATACACCATTGGGTTGCATGAATATCAAGGATCAAGTTATGCTTGCTACTAGGAGACCCATTTACACGCTTCGAATATTTCGCTCATTCTCATCATCAACTTTATGATTGTCAAGCGTGTCAAAGGATTGTAATAAAATAAATACTTGAGATAGTGGATGAATAGTGCCTCTTGTTCAGTGTTTCCTTATTTTTATTTGTTCTCTAGTAATCCATTAGTGTACTCGAATACTACAGCGTACCTCAAATATTCATCAAACTTATTAAACAGCTGTACGACAACGGAACATGTCAAGTCATCCACGACGGAAAACTCAGCGACGCGTTTGGAGTAAACACAGGAGTCAGACAAGGGTGCCTGCCTATTATCATCAATGATATTCCTAATTGTGGTTGACTGACTGGATTATGCGTCACACACTGAGTGGGAAACGAAAAGACAGGGATATCCTAGACCGACGTGGAGAACCTAGAAGACCTGAATTTCGAGCGGGAATGATTTATGTTTGATGTCACTGTCACAAAATTGAAGACTTACAAGCGAAAACCGATAAACCGGTCGAAGAAGCAGCAGGCGAAGACAGGATTCCATGTGAACATAGACGAGACGGGGGTTATGAAAATAACCAACCAACAACAACAACAGCAACATCCAGTGCCAATGACCAATAATGGGAGGGATTTGAAAGAGATTACTTCATTCACTAATTTAGCATTCAGCATTGTCTCAACTACGGCAGGAGGAACGCACGAGGATGACAAATCGAGCGAGAATCGGAAAGGCGAGAAACACATTCACTCATCAACCTGAAACCAATCTGGAAGTTTTTGTCACTCAGCATCAACAACAAAATTCTGTCGGATTTTCAATACAAACGTCAAGTCAGTTCTAATTTACTTCAGTTCTTCAGAAACTTGGCGGGTGGGTCACAAAGAATATTTCCAACAGCCTGTTGCAGACCTTCATCAACAACTGTCTTCGCCCTATACTGAGGATCAGATGGCCCAAAAGTGGAGATAGATTGGACACTCGCTGAGGAGGCCGCCGCTGGGTGACATCGCACGCGCGTCAGGCCATTGCTCGAGTGAAACCTGAAAGGGAAGCGGCGAGTGGAGAGTCAATGAGAGGGTGACATGGAGAAGATCGTGTGAAGAAAAGTTGAAACAAGTGAAGACGTTTTTCGTTTTTTTGTTTTGTTTTTTGATTACAGCTTGATTCCACACCGTATTTTTGATACGTGTGGAATTTTCAGCATGGATATCAGTAGCCCAAATTTCACAGGCCGACCATTGATATCAGGTGTGCGTCGGCGTGGGCTCGAACCCCGGACCATGTGCATGGTCGGCGAGAGTCCTAACCACTGTGCCACCGACGCACACGTGCAGTTGAAGCCCTATGTTCCACTAGGAAACCAAGGGAAGAACAATAATAATCCATTAGTGTGGTTCATGAGTCACTAACGTGTGTAACAGAAGCGGATTCAGTATTGTTTTTGCAACATTAATTATCTATGCCTTCTTGGAATCATTTTTACAGTTTACCAACTAACCGTTTAATTCTTTCATCTAGAACCGGACATCAATCGCTCAATGGCAGAATCTTCACTAAACATGTAGAAAAGTGCAGTTTCAATCACTTAGGTATTTTCTAATCTCGTCTACTACGCAAGACCATAGTAGTAAGATTAGAAAAGCGAGAAGCGAAAGTCGAATGAGTAATTAGCCGCCACAATCGATGAAGGCAAAACCACATCCATTGAAATTCCAGAGCTTGAAGGCGTGAGAAATCAAGGGTAAAAAATGGAAGTTGGTTGAGACGCTTTATCGGATAGGATAGGCAAAAGTCCCCTTTTGTAGGGTAAACTGTTTAATACTGGCCCAGTTATAAACGTATTGATCTCCTGGAATTAGTAATGCTCTGGCCTATTGTCCCAGTTTTGAGTAATTGTATTTTACTATATTGAACATACAATCTCAAGCTTCAGCTTTGAAATTTCGCTAGATTTGATGCCTACTTTTAACGGGGTGAAGTTGTAAGCACCACGCCAAACCTATCCTCCTTAACAGACTGACTAACAGGTAGTAGAGAGGCTAAAGAGTACTTCAACTGGAGATTGAACACCGGATCACGTCCATAGTTGTCGACCATTCTACCGCTGAACCACCGCCAGACGACTTTGCAGAAGTTGTTCGATTTTAGTTTCTTTATATGCTGGCACAATCGACATTTTGAAGTCATTATTCTCATTACTTTCATTACTACCCCCATCTCTCTCTCTCATAGATCTTCAAGACTCATTAGAGACCTTACATAGATCTTTAATAAGGCTGGAATCAGAGTGGTATTTAACCAACTAACTGCCGGTATAGGGATCCAATAGGTTTAATTTGGATAAATTATATAGTTTACCAAATATCATTAAAGGGGACTATAAGGTCACATACATACAAGAATTGAACAAGTGGATGAGAGTCAGTCAATCTGAACGAAGAATATTCTTTTCAATAATTGGTCCTCTTCAGGTCCTTACAGTTATAAAATATGAATATATTTGTTGTCGTTACAGTAATGATAGCCAGTTATGCGGCGGATACAATTTTTAACATGGAATAAGCGATTAGTTATCGGGTGTCAAAATAAACAGTCGTATTTGTTTGACAAACGTGCTAGCCTGAAAGCGATTGCAAGATAATGTGAAGTTGGAGACATTGGTGGTGATTAGTCATAATAGATTCGTAGATTGTGGGATAGAAAAAAACTGACAAGTCAGTTTAAAGTTATAAAAGGTGCCAAATTTTCCTACTCACCTGACGCTTTTATAACTTTGATCCGACTTATCAAATTTTTTTCTATCCCGCTACCTGCGAATCTATTATGACTAATCACCATCAATGTCTCCCAATTCACATTATCTTGCAATCGCTTTCAGCCTAGCACGCTTGTCATACAAATACGACTATTTATTTTGACACCCGATAACTAATCCATTATTCCACGTTATAAAAAAATTGTATCCGCCGCATAACTGACTATCATTACTGTAACGACAACTAATTTTATATTTACAGGATTTTATCATGAGCTGACATCAGTTAGAGAACCACTGGAAAACCTGCGAGTACCGGACAGCTGTTTTGTCCTAGTTTGGGGCACTTCAGCAGTACGCACCTGCCGGGATTTGAACCCACGACCTTCTGGTTACAAGGCGAGCTCGTATACCATTAAGCCACTGGGACGAGATCCAATGGTCCTTGAATTCTAACTTCTGCCAATTCACGTCATAGCACGACCGCTAGCCAATGTCTTCGGCGAGTATTTGTCCTCACACCCGACCTGCCGCACCCTACTGGTCACGACTTCTCACTAGAGCCCCAGGTAACTACCTACCTGAATAGGGCCAGTCGATAGTGAACATCTCATTGATATTCAAGTGTTAGGTTGTACATTATATTATATATTATATTATAATATTACATTATATTAGTAATATTATATTTTATAACTGTAAGAACCTGAAGAGGAGAAATTATTGAGAAGAATGTTCTCCGTTCAGATTGATTTCTAATTTCTGTGAAATGGGAATATTTCACACTATTAAATCCTATAATCACACACAGTCTAAATTGTGTGTACAAAATACAATCGACTTCAACCTTCCTCCGCCTAGCATGATGGACTACTTGACCTATTTAGACATGACTGGTCATTAGTATGTACTTTTGTTTTATATACCTGAGTAAATGTCATGTATTCTATTTCATTATTGTAAACCATGCTGGTTTTAAAGCGATTGTGGAGGAACTACGAAATGACGATATCATCTCTCTAGCGTAATTTGTCTTCAAAATGTCTTATTCAAATTTATGAAAGGCACTAATTGTTTTAGCACTAGTTTTTCTTTAAGTGGTTTGACAAGAATAGGACTGGAACCCAGGACCTTCCAGTTACAAGGCAAGCTGGCTCGTATACCGTTCAGCCACTTGGACCTATTTCAGTGGCCACCACATGAATTCTAACTTCTACCAATTCGTGATTTAGCGCGATCCCAACCATTGTCGGTGGTGGGACATCCATCGACACACGTGACATCTGGATGGGTCGCGCTAAATCACCAATTGTTAGAAGTTAGAATTCATCAGCTGGTCACTGAATTGATACCCAGTGGCTGAATGGTATACGAGCCAGCTTTCCATGTAACCGGAAAGTTGTAGGTTCGAACCCCCTGTGGTGTGGGTGCAAACTACTGATGATTCCCAAACAAGGAGTACTGGACAGCTGCTGTTTCATCCTAATTTGAGAATTATCGGCAGTACGCACCCAGTGGGATTCGAACCCAGGACCTTCCGGTTACAATGCAAGCTCGTACTGTTGATGATTCCCAAACTAGGATGAAACAGCAGCTTTACAATACTCCTTGTTGGTTTTCAATGGTTCTTTAACTAATATCGATCCGTGATCAACTCGGAAAAAAAATAACTACCCCTCACAAAGCAAACTATAGAAATGAATAAGAGCGTCAGACTCACATTCATCCTTTGCTCCTTCCCAGGCTTAATGTCAACTAGTTAACTGGATGTAAGAGGTTTGGACCTGTCTAGACGAAAAATTGAACTATGACATTCTGTGTGGCCGAAGAGTATTCTTCTATTGGAAAACCCATTACTCATTCATCTGATACTTAGACTGATATTAGCATAACGTCTCATAATACATACACTGGGTTCGAGCTTTGATGGGAACATTATCACTGAGAAATGCTGGTACATCCAGTTGCTGACGAATTCTGTCTGGATTCTACCGTTAGTCACCATCCATCAATTAAATACATGAACATTATAATTTTCAGAAGTCTATGAATCATGATAAATTGGCTAGGAAATTTGTCATATTGGCCTACCTTTTATCTGGTTTCAGCACAACTCCATTTTTCGACCACATTATCTGATGAACTGTCGGTCTAGGAATACTGTACACTAAACAGAATAATTTCGCTGAATTCTCATCATAGCCAATGATTTGATCAGTTTTCACAATTTTTGGTGATGCTGTAAAAAAACAGCCGATAGATAATTAGATAAATAATTAAAGGTTGTTAAATTTGTAAGGTGCAATTAATCAGAAATTGATGTAATGCTTATATGTTAATGACACACACTACTTATATTGATAAAAGTATAAAACATGGGCACTGTGGTAGAGTATAAGTAATAAGTACAATAAGCTACTCACACAACTTTTGTTCATTCATTTATATACATGTGTGGAATTGACCAGATATTTAAGTAAAAATCAATACGGGATAACGTACATTCAGAAACAATAATAACAGTTTTATTGATCAATTACAATCAGATGGGAAATAAGACGAGTGTTTTTGTAGTCATAATAAGTAACTTGTTAGGATGTTGTGATGTGCTTGAATTGAAATAGAATTTTGAGATTATTTATTATCCTCTTCTGATTTGACTGACTGGTGGTAATAATATCTTACATATCTCTGGGATTTGCATTGAGTCACTTCTGTTGCATGTATTGGGTGTGTAGACTCAATGAACCAGGATTCAGTAATCAATCTCTCTCTCACCACCTACATAGATTACTTCTTGGAATATTAACCGTCTCCCAACCTTCTGTGTGGTTGTATGTTAATGCATGTAGCGCAATTTAGTGCTCAATTTTTTTCTGAATTACTAAGCTTCTTCGGTTCAACCTTTCATACCTTAGCTAAATTCTTATGCTCCGCCGATCTACTAGATAGACCTATATAGTTGACTTTACTCCAAGGGATTGCAAGGTAATTTTTAAATTATATTATTTTGTTTAATTGGGTCCACCGGATCTTTAAGCCTACAGAGCTTGTCTCTGAGTGAGTTTGTTAGTTTGAATGCCACCCTAATTCCTGCTTTATTGAGAATCCTACGTAGGGTCGCAGATGTCCCCTCTTTATATGGCATAACAGTAGATGGCTTATGTTCTTTCTTATCATTATTATCATTATTAATTTCCCAATAATTTGTATTTTGCTTTTGACCATTTTCGATCTTTCAAATGAATTTCATAGGATTGTTATTCAAAATGAACGCCTCTTTTATCTGTTTTACTTCATCATTTAGGTCTTTTTTGTGTTACTTAGTGCTACTGCTCGGCCTGCCTTAACAGTTAACTGATGAGATGAATTAAAGTCTAAATGTCTATTAGCATAATGCGTTGGTTTTTTTTTATACCTTCTATTCGTTTTATTTTACAATTTAACATAGCTAATTCTCCTTGTTCATTTTCCGATTCATATGTGAACTGTATTTCCACTACTAGTGAGTTTATATGTGTCAAGAAGCTAGAGATATGTTCAGTCAGTAGTGTACAATATGAGGCTATTACGCTGACTTTCTTAAGAGTTTATTTTTGTGCAACTAACGCCTTACTCTCCTCATCACTGGTGAAGGTTAAGGATAATAAAATAGAAGAAGACAACCAACAGAATTGTGTGTGTACCAGATCAATTCTGCAGACTGCAATGCCGTATATGTTGGAGAAACTTCCAGACAGGTAAATATAAAAGTGGAAGAGAATAAACAATGTCTAAAGGTGGTTCCGGAGACGTCTTCAGACTTAAAGAAGCTAGAAAACAAATCAGCGACTGCACTGTATTCGACAGGAACAGGATACAAAATTGACTTCGATAAGACTAAGGTTCTACAGGAAGGTTTCGGTTCGTATAAAGAAAGACTGACTGCAGAAACCCTACATATATATGGGTGAATCCCAACAGTTTTAAGAGACGGGAAGGTGTGATGTTAGTTGATGCAGGGCAAATCCTAATTAACAAATAAAAATGGATGTGTATCAATGATTAATCATACTCGATCCAAATTCCCGATTGTCTTTATCTTCTTATGGAGAGACTAAGAAATGTTTTATGACTGTTTACCCACACATCAAAGTATACTGCATATACACATATATTTTCATATTCAGTTATCTACGACCATGAACTTTTAGTTCGAGATTCATTCGACTTTATAAACTCAGTTGAAAATGTCAACGTATCCAACTAGACCGTGATTTTATTAGATGTCATATCACTTTTCATAAACGTCCCACTGACTGAAACAAGATGCTATGTGTGCGAACTTATTCATTCAAAGGGAATAAACATCGGTATACCCACTGAACGTCTTAAAGAACTCCTACTGAGGTTTACCCTGAATGTTCAATTCTCTTTCAACAACGAAATATATCTCTAAAATGATGGTATAGCTATGGGATCACCACTGGGCCCATTGCTTGTAGATTTCTTCGTGGCAAGACTCGAAAAGACATGTTTGAAGAAAATGATTGATACCTTCGAAATCTATAAGAGATACATGGACTACACTTTCATTATCGTCAACAATAAAGAAAATCTACATGGCATCTTAAATTCCTTTAACAACTGCCACCCAGAGATTCAATTCACGACAGAGAAAGAGCCCGACTCCAAAATATCCTTTCTCGACGTTCAACTAGCAAGACGAGAAAAAAACGGAACAATGAAAGGGTCTATCTACAGAAAGTCAACGTGAAACGGGCATCTTACTAACTTTCACAGTTGGGTACCTCAGTACAACAAACGAAACCTGATCCGTTCACTCAGCCACAGTGTTCGCAGAATCTGCACTCCGGATACCATAGAAGAGGAACTAGACAATGTCAAGAGAATCCTTGTCGAAAATTGTTATACAGAACGATTTATTGTGAAATCCATGAATCCTAGACCGCAAAAGCCGCCCATGCTTAGCGTCTTGAAAAAAACTACTCTACATGAACCTTCAATTTAATGGAGATACATCTGCGGGAACACTGAAAAGTCGACTGTCGCGTTCACTTAAGAAAACTTTCGCAGCTGAACTACGATGAACCTTCTCCACGAAACCTGTGATTCGTATGAACTTGAAGGATAACCTATCACTGTCAGCCTTATCAGTGAATATCTACCGATTCAACTCCTCATTTGGAGCCAGGTATTTCGGCAGTATCGAGAGTTCACTTTCCAAACGTGTCATCGAACACTTACCAACATGGTTTTACAAAGGAGAAAAACGATGCCCTTGCAGCTCTATCTTATAACATTTGATAGATTTTGGACATCAAGCTACACCCCAAACAAACTTCAAAGTCGTCTACAGAATACGAAGCAGTCTTCCTAAAGGTGTATGAATCAGACTTCTTCAAACTGCAGAAGAAATGGCAGTTCACTTGCTTAGTCCTAAACTCTGCATACAGAAGAAGGTCGTTCAATCACCACACTTGCAATGGACGTAATCTATCTTAACACCTGACAGGTAAATTCTACTTAATTTGTTTCCTTTTTTCTCTTCTGTCTGTTCATTAGTATTATTTTGTCTTTTCAACTGCAATATCTTACAGTTTCAACCTTCCTGTTCTCTACCCCAACTCAATTTAATTTCTACACCTCACTTCCACTGTTACGGACTTGACCAACGCTCAATTTCTAGTCATTTATGTTACATCATCCAACTTATTTGCTCAATTTTAGTTCTAATTTAAATGGCATTATTCCCTACTCTACCTCTACTCAGCCTCTACCTGTAATTACCTCTGTTGCTACCCTGACCTAATTTGAAACATTTTAGTCAATTATACTACTTCATCTAACTTACAACTTCAATCTTACTTTAGTTGCTGTCTTAATAACCTTCTTTCCATTTTAGATCATTCTTGTATTACCTGATCAGTTATCTAAACTTAACAAACCTCATGTACACACACACAAATAATTATATATAAATGCAATTGTAGGGTTATGTGAATAAATTCGCCATCGAAAAGAGTCTCTTCGCTGAGTGTCTTCTATTTTTCATATGACTTAATGGGGATTTTCAAGCTGCTTAAACATTCTGTTTCTGTAATTAAAACGTTTAGATAATTTATTTCTGTCAGAATTATAAATATCCACTTTATACAATTATCAATCGGTCACCTTCAAAATGGTCGTCTACAGGTGAACACAATCTATGAATTCCATTGCAGCTTATCAGAAATTTTCTGATAGTCCGAATGAGACAGGTGTTCGTTCCCTATCGCAAAACCGCCACTGGAACTCTTGTCAATGCCTTGGAAGTTCTGCGATGTGAATATCACTATCTGCCAGCTTCATACATATGTCAAGTTATAAAATATACTTGGCCAAAATTGTGATATTCGGTGATTTCAACTTCTGCAATCAATATTTAGAGAACAAAATTTATTGCTGTTCATAATCATATCAACTGTAATCACACCACCTCGAAACCTGAGTTTTATAGCTTTCTTTATTTTCTCCTGTTTGTCGTCGAATGGGTAGTAGAATTTTCCAGATATCTAGGACACGTGTTGAACCATTCCTATTGCATGTAGTTCCTGTCAGCTGATTCGATAAACAAAGCTTCTGTTATCAATCTTTCCCTCCCTCCACTCTGCGACATTAGATTTTAAAACTGTCATCTTATCCCATCTAGCCGATTGTATGGTTATGCGTAACTGCATGTTATGCTGTAGCTGGACTATTCTCTAGATTTCTTATCTTATTCGGGTAAATCAATCTAGATTTTGCTAGATTTTTATGTTCGGTTTATGTACCTCGGAAGCCTTACGCAGAATTCTTAACAAGGCAGGAATAAAAGTGGCTGGCATTCAAACCCACAAACTAAATTCGAAACAAGCTTTGTCGTTTAAAGTATCCTACCAGTGGAGCCTTTAAAACAAAACAATTTAGTTTATCAAATACCCTGAAATGAATGTCAGGTCAAATATATAGGTAAAACTAGTAAAACAGGGGCAGTCTGACTATCTTAGCTTGAAAGTCTAGCGAAATCCAGATTGGTTGACCCGAATAAGATAAGAAATCTATAAAACTCAAGTTTCAAAGTCGTGTGATCACAATTGATATGATTATGAACAGCAATAAATTTTGTTCGAAACTGTGTCATCCAGTAAATAGTAATACTGTTTCACTATGTGATATCTAATAAACAAACTAATATGAAGCCATAGAACACGTCTTCCAGAACTTGAGAATAACATGTCTCAATACCCGTATTTCTCTTTTTGAACTAACAGAGGCGGAACGTAGCTTATTCGAGAAGTATGTGTCCAACGTAATAAAGAAAAGTTCCGATGATATCAGAATTAAAATATTGATAAGCTGCCAAATAACCGAATCTAATATGAAGTTTCCGAATTCACCAAAGAAATATGTTTGTAACTCTGTCTGACGTTCAGATCCAAAATCCTACCTATTTTTGGTTCTGCACTATTTTATCCATAGTTGACTAATTAGATACAAAGGTGCAGTTGGAAAATCTTATTTCTCAGACATAGGACGTACTTCTGATGTTCACTAAAGACCTAGAACAGTTCACGTCTGCCTTACTGGATTTCTACTATAAAACCTTAAAAGCGCAATGCAAGCAACGACAAATAATGTCGAAAGAGTGTAAAAGACAAGTGAACGAACTTTTTGAATAACAAGGATATAATTCTAATCTGTCGAGATAAAGGGTCGGGTATATATAGTCAGGATTATGTTAACAAATTATGCAGTATTCTTTAGGATGAAGGACAATATTTAATAGTTCGAATGTCTATTACCCCAGCTATGTGAAGTGGATGAATACAAAGCATTTTCGAAAGAGTTGATAGAGTATGGTGAATCAACTTGTATGCTAAATCTGTAAAGATGGAGCTACTGATTGTTTTTTGTTTGTCCTTTGCAAAACCACAATGAGAGATGATTGTTGGATGGTGACTAGCCATGAAGTCTAGGACGCGCATTTCGTCCTATCTGGAGCTCGTCACTGGATATACCTGCATTCCTCAGTGAGTGATGATGTTCCCAATGCAGATTTCAGGTATTTCCAGCCAGAGGACGAGTCCCATTTAGGACGAAATGCTCGTTACCTTGGATTCCACTGCTAGTCAGTATCCACCAGTTAACTTCTAATTACATGATCATACACCAATGAAGTATCTGAACAAGAAGGTGACATGTCAACCTGAGACCGATCACTTCGATCCAATCAATAGACGGGAAAATCTACAACTGAATTAAACACGATGGGAGATGTTCAGTGACACACGTTTGGTGGATGAACTGTCTAGTAGTAGGCCGAAAATAACTGTCACCTCAGGTGCAGTTGAATTGATAAATACACATAAATATGGCAAGCTATCTAGTGATAGCCAGATAAAGGGCCAGGTATAGCTATTTTAGATCGTGAATAATATATTAACAAATTATATACCATTTTATATGACGAGGACAAATTTTTAAAATTGACCCAACTAGCTAGACGGTATTATGAATGATTTGTCGACAGTTTCGAAATAGTTGAAAGACGAATCTATTATTCGAACTATTGGGCCTAAACTATGCATTCAAAGGAAGTTGGCCCAACAAGACCTAACGAGCGAATGACTTCCGCACCCCCATTTGCTTATATTGTCAACCCCTGTCTAATCACCCTTTACTCTTATCACATCATTAAAAACTAGTGTGTATTTACTTACCTTACAATCTAGCAATACTCAATCGGTTCATACATTTTTCCTACCCCTTATGGACTACATCTACCTGAATATTTGTTTGTTTAATCATGCTGTTTTTGGCTATTCTAGCTTGTTATCACAGATCACCACCATTTTCAATCTTTGTAATTGAGGGAATCACTATTATCACATTATCACGACTAAGTTCACAATTTGTATACACAATCTTATTACCCTACTGACAAGACCCTGTGATTGGTTTAGATACTTTAACATTCCCTTGTAGAGTTAAGTATATTAAAGTTTGATGAGATCCAATAGGAAACAGTACTGTTCTCTTAAGTATGCTGTGTTGTTACTATCCACATTAGTTTCAAACGTGTATGATTATAAATACACAAGCAGGTCATGTGATTATGTGTTTACCTTTTATCTCATGTTCTGAATGACTGTACATTTTAAATGCGTGTAGAGAACAAGGGGAAAAATGCACTCCACTGCCAAAGAAAATAATTTATACGAGCACAAATTTCAAGTGAGACTTAGTGGTAGCTCTTCTAGAGAAAAAAATCTCCAGTTCCTTAAAGAAAACATCTGCAGCAACGAAAGATTGGTATTCTGTGGCAGGCCACTGCTTCTAAGCAATGTTAAGGATAAACGCCCTATAACATGACCACTACATTGTGCATATATATATATATATATATATATATATATATATATATCGATCCATCTGCTTCTATTGAGCTAGGTATAAAGTTCGTTCTTTCGAAACATGTTCAGCAACACTACCTAGCATAGCTGCAAAGTGACACTGGTTTTAATTAGAAGCGCCACAGCTGAACATACCAACTCAGTAAGTGTTATAACATCTCAAAAGGCGTATGATTCACAGTCATTTACGAAGTTCCCTAAAGATATTGTGTTTCTGACTTCTTTGTACTACAAAAGACCTTAACACAAGCATCTAAAAGTCGAAGCTTTGTGCTCAAAAGAAGCCAGTTCAACCTCTGCATTTATCACGAGTCTAATGCAGTTTGACTGCCAACTTTTCTTTATTTTCCCACTCCTTTCATTTTGGTTCTCCTTGATCATAAAATCTATGGGTTCTATTTATTTCCGCCCTCACCTCGTCCATATTTGTCTTCGTCGTAAATTGGCAAACGCATCAAAGACAGGACTTCAGGTGAACAAAAAATATACAGAGATGGTGAAGATTCCTGGCTAACAATAACAGATAACAATCAGCATAAATTGGAGAAATCTGAAAGAAGCAAACTCCCTTACTTACCTACCTACCTACCTGCCTAGGAAGCATCGTTCCAACTACAGGCAGACGGAACTGATGAGGATATCAAAGCGAGGATAACGAAAGCAAAACAAACTTTCACTACTTTCAAGTCTGTGTGAAGATCAACAGCACTCAGCATGAAAAATAAGATCCGGATTTTTAACTCCAATGTGAAGTCAGTGCTATTATATGGATTAGAAACTTGGCACTGCGTCACAAAGGCCACTTCAAACAAACTATAGGCCTTCATGAACAGCTGTCTTCGCTCAGTACTCAAGATTGGATAGCCAGAAAAAATGAGTAACAGGAAGATCTGGGAACGAACCAACCAGGAACCGATTGTGCAGCAAATATACAGAAAAAGAGAAGACGTTCAGCGAAGAGACTCTTTTCGGCGAATTCATTCACATAGCTGTACAATCGCATTTATATATAATTATTTGAGTGTGTGTGTGTACATGAGGTTTGTCAAAATATACAGAAAGAAATGGAGGTAGACTGGTCATACTCTGAGAAAACGAAGTATTAAATGACTTCACACGACAGGCTATCGCTCGAGTGGAACCCGAAAAGGAAGCGGCTAGTGAGTTGGTTGTCAGTGCAAGGGTGACAAGGAGGAGGAATTCATGTGAAAGGGACATGTAAACATGTGGGTTGCAGACGTGGAGCCAGGCGAAAACGTTCGCAGAGGATAGAACGCAATGGAGACATGTTTCTAAATCCCTATGTTCTTCTTGGAAGTAAAGGAAACAATAATAATAACAGTTTGCTTTGTTTACTTCATATTTATTTTCTAATTCCGTATAATTTTGTCTCTAATCTCATAATAATCTTTATTCACAACTTGGGATTTTCATATCAAGTTGAAAATTGTAATCATCTTTAATCTCCTTTGCTATTATGTGGAATTAAGTTATAATTGTATGTTTGTGAACTTGTGCCTATAAATGTATGTTTGAAGCACTTTTTAGGAAGAATGAAATTACCGAAAAGATATTCATCTTTCCTGAGCCTCTTGTTCTTTCCCATCTAATGTCCTTCCAGATGGGTATATTTTTAATATTTTAAATAACAATCGAAATCGATGGACTATTATTATCCGAAATTCTACTTATACACCACATTACACTTTCTGATACAATTCTGATTCAAGTGTTGGTTTGTAGGGATTTCATCATGAGCTGGCATTAGTTACAGAACCATTGGAAAACCTAAGTGTACTGGACAGCCGTTTCATTCTAGTGCTTGAGACAATTCAGCAGTACGCACCCACCCCACTGGAGGTCGAACCCAAAACCTTCTGGTTACAGGGCGAGCTCGTATACCATTAAGCCACTGGGAACCGATGTGATGGTCCATGAATTCTGACTTCTGCCAATTCACAACATAGAGTGACGTCAAGCCAGTGTCTTCGGCGAGTGTTTGTCCTCTCACTTGACCTGCTGCAATCTACTGGTCACAACGTACTGACAAAGAGTTATAAGCTAGGAAGAAACAGCTTTCCAGCTCATGATGAAATCCTGTAAACAATTCTGATTCGTTTGTACTGGCCAGTGTATTCTAAATTTCAAGGATTTTTCAACCCTAGACCCTGAAGAACAAATTAATAAAACCTCGTTTGTTCAACTGAGTTATTTAACTTCTGAAAAAAAACCAGTTAGCTTTACTTACCTGCTTGCCCAACATAGATGGCACGATAAATAGGCGGATAACCACGACTTTGAGCAACACATGCGTAGAAACCAAAATGTAAGTGGGTTGACAAGTGAAGTTTGTATGAAACATGCTTTACTTTAGAAGCTAACAGCTAAAACATAAAGAAATAGAATGAAGTATATATATATATTCAAAAACAATGAATCGTAAAAATATATAAATCTTTTTTTGTAATTTGATGATAACATTAATACATACTATTACAGACAGGCAGTGAACATGATCTTTTATTGAACTATTTGAGAATGTCTCCATGTGTCTAGATTCAGGTACGTATTGCCTAACTATCAACACCTTGTCTGTTCTCAACTTTTTGTTGCCTTATATCTCATCACGTTGAACTAAAAGTTAATTATAAACGATTAAAGGTTCTGATGTGGTTGTGTTCTTTGAGCTGGATAGTTAATTTGAGAAGATTTCAACGCCTCCTACTAGGCGCCATCTTCAGCGCATACACTTCAATTCGATGAAATCAGCTTATAGATGTCTCCACGAGTTTGTGAATTATCCCTACTGGTGATCACATTGAATGTCATTAGTTATTTTTGCGTGTTTTCACACCTTATAGGTTACTTGCATTGGAACTGATTGTTTATTTGACTTGAAATTCGATTCTTTCATCAACTCACATGGACCAAATCCTGAATTACAACAGCAAATATCCAGTAACACACAGAATGAAATTACATACAAACATTATTCAGGAGGGCCAAGACTCGCTGCAGCACTCCAACATTAAAGAAAATTGAAGAAGGATATCTCATGGACGTCTTCCAAAAGAATGGATATCCACGGAACTTCATCAAAACGCATATACCCACAAACCAAAAGCCCCCAAGGAAAACACAAAGAAAATCCCTTTACCATATATAAAGGATATGTCAGAAATCACTATAAGACTCTTCAAACCTTCAGGAATTGAAGTCGTACACAAACCAAGAAAGTCACTTCACTCAATTCTATGTCAACCAAAAGACTCAACAACGAAAGAAGATAAAACCAACATCATTTACAAAATAAACTATAACAACTGCGAAAAACACTACATTGCCTAAGGTAGACATCCCCTTAGTCTTCGTATTCACGAACATAAGCTAGCCGTCAAAAGACATGACATCCACTCCTTCATATCACTACACACACACAACTACGGACATCAAATCGACTGTGACAACCAACGTTCAAATAGTAGACAGAGGAAACACAACAAGAATGCTAGAGAATTTTGGGCACCCTGGCATTCTAGTGAATCATCAATCAATAGACATATCGCGATAGACAAAATTTATCAAGCGATAAGAAAGAAACCTCACACACAAAGGGTCAAAGTTCAAGTCAAAGAAGCAATCGGTTCCAATACAAGTAACCTAGAAGGTGTGAAACACACGAAAACAACCAATCACGTCAAGATCGCACACCAGGAGAGATGATCAATAATCTCGTTGAGAAATCTGAAAGCTCACGTCAAATTGAAGTATGCGCTGAAGATATTGCCTAGTAGGGTTATGAAAGCTTCGCAAATTGACTACCCAGCTCAAAGAACACAACCACATCAAAATCATCCACCTGAGCTACAAATTTTCTCTATCATATCTAGATTATGGATTCGTAAAACCACGTACAGAAACTCACTAAAACCATATTTCGGCTGTGTTTTACGGCTTACTGTGTAATAATTGGCTCTTTTATTCTCTCCAACGCGTATCTGCAACCTTGAAGGAACTCCTGTCCCTCCTGGGATTCGGACCTGCGTCATCCAGTGCCACCTGCTATCAGAAACGTTACCACTGAGCTATTCGGGCTCGCGAATGACCTCCTGTAGGACTGCACTAATTATTTTGTCAAGACACTATTAACTGGTGTGATGTGTCCAGTCCTTTCTTTTGTGCAGACTTAGTTCTATCAATCAGGTTTGTAATATGGTCACACCATTCTAGGTAGCTTGCTTAGTGGTGACGTCTCTGACTGCAGCAATGGGTGACACGGGTTCGAATCTCAGAGGAGACATGAGTTTCTTCAAGGTAGTTGCAGATACACCTTGCTGACTGACTGATGAGTGGCAACTAGCAGGAAACCTAGGTCAGGTGAGGCTTTCTATGGGTGATTGCCTTCAACCATCTAATATCATCAAAACAGTCTGCTCCATGATGGTGAGCTACCCAGAATGGTGGCCACATTGCGAACCTGATTGATAGAATTCAGTGTACACCAAGTAAAGGACCAGATACATCACACTAGTTACTAATGGTCAATTAAAAAAGTCGTATATCTCAGTTTCCTTGGCGAATTGTTGTCTTTATTATAATAAAGGTTTTTGTATTTCCAAATGAATGAAAAACAAGACTACGTCCTTGTTTTTACTGGTATTTCACTTTTCAATGCTAACAGCTCCATCAGAGTATTATTAAACCAGAATTGACAAAATCTCAACTGATATATAACAACTTAATCATGGTTCATCAGCATGGCGGAGTTTCCACTTAGTCAATTTGGTCACTTGGTAAAGATAACAATCCATGTTTTCAGATTTTTGGAGATTTGAAAAGCGTATAAAATTATAGAAGCAGCATGTGTTTACACTATGATATTACTCATCACATTCGTTTTGATTTTGTCACTTCATGAGTGAGGGTGTGGGTGTTGTAACCAGGTCAAATTCTGTTTTAGTCCATCATTCCTACTCAGACAATTTGGATTCCATTTGATATGAAGTGCTTTGATGATATCAGATGTTCTTTGTGATTTCGTTTTGTTTTTCATTCATTTGGAAATATAAAAACCTCTATTATAATGAATATCATATACCCAACGCCCAAAAATTCTTTCCGACTGTTAAAAGTGAACTTGGTTTGGACATATTTAAAAAAATTGTAGTCTGTTCAAATTTCAAACCCTCACATAAGATAACAAATACTTCGGCGGTTCAGTGGTAGAATCTTCGACCACCACGTAAACGGTTCGGAGGTCCTTACCCGCCGACGCATGCACGTATTTCGTATAGTCCTTAGTGGAGAGTAAGACCAGGGAAGAGTGAAGATGCGACATGAGGTTACCGACTCAACCTACTCCCCATAAGACTGTAGAACTTGAGTCCTTATGTTCCACGAAGAAAGCGAGGAATGAAGTGAGAAAAACTTCCGAGAAATATGTATACAACGAAACTGTCTTCCGCAGTAATCTGTTTCATGAATGATAGCTCGTAAAATACTAAGCAGAAGAACCTTTCACCGATTTTATGAAAACGATTGTCTAAAAAACACAATAATATTTCTTGAAGTTATTCCCTATGAAGAATTTGAACGACAAGATGAATTCATTTTATTATATAATAGGGTTTTCGTTGGCTGCAAAATACCTGAATAATCTCAAAATTGATTTTACAAAGGAACCTACATCATTTTGAGGGATCACTGAAAACCCGGAAGCAACAGATGCTTGTTTCGTCCTAGTTTGGTGCTCTCAGGTAGTGAGCGGCCGTGACTCCACCACTACGAATAAAACTCAGGACTTCATCATGAACTGACATCGGTTGGAGAGTCATTGGAAAACTTTCAGGAACCAGTAGGTTACAGCAGGTGGGGCATGAGGACAAATACTTGCTACGTGCTACGTCGTGAATTGGCAGAAGTTGGAATGCATGGGCTGGTTATTGGATCTGTTACCAGTGGCTTAATAGTCTACGAGCTCTCTAGTCTTCTAACCAGAAGGTCCTGGGTTCGAAAACCGCTGGGTGTGTGCGTACTGATGAGAAGTCCCACACTGAATGGTTCTTGAACCTATACCAGCTCATGATGAAATCCTCTAATCAACCAAATCATATCCCTACAAACATATACTTGAAAACCCAGGACCTTCAAGTTTCAAGACGAAGCTTGTTGAACACGCAGACACTTGGGCTAAAACTTAGTGCAAACCACGCATTCTAACTTCGCTCAACTCGTGTCATAGCGCTATCCTCAACCAGTGTCTTCGATAAGCAACCGATTAACCACGACATGATGGACCCTGCTGTTCGTCGCTTCTCAGTGCAGTTTCAAAACATCCTTCGGGTAGCAATCTATCTGTCTGTCTGTTTTTTCCACATAGAACTTTGCACATATGTGTGGCAGTTCAGGTCGCCACACTCCATGTAACACACGAAGCAAGAGAAGAAAATAGAAGAAATGCATAATAGACACAGTAAACAGAGGAGTGAGACAATGTAGTTTCATTGGAAATCATAAGTTACGAAAAGTGGATGCATCTGCACCAGCCATCAGTGAGAACGATTTTTAGCCATGTCACCAATTGTTTCCAACCATTGGTGTTTACCGTCCTGAGGACCCCAACCAGGAAGTCTACACCTTCCTACTTGTCTGGCTTAAACTAACTGTTGCGGATTTCATTGACTGATGAAGCCATCTTTTGGTTTAATCACCACTAGCTAGCTCTTTTTCAACCTAACCCTATATCAGCTAACATTGCCAGTCGGTCGAGGAAGGCGATGACTACGTAACAAATGTCCTATCTCTTCCAATCGGTGTAACATCACAGCCTCGTCGATTGATTTCCCCTCCCTACCTAGCACTGAACGCCTAACCTCAATGTTGCTCACCTTATTATACCACCTCACACGGGATATAGAACGCAGGCACCTATGATCAAACAGCTAGCCAAATTTTTCATGTCTTCCACTCTTAATGGCCAGGTCTCACAGCCGTAAAGGAAGACGAAGTGGACTGCTGGGCAGTACACCCGCCGTTTGGTAGATAGCCAGATATCACGTCTACGCCAGAGACTGTCTAAACTGTATCCATACTGAGATTTCATCAGAGACCAACCCATTGGCGTTGGATGATGCAACTTTACAAATAAGTGAAGCGGTCAACATGCTCTATCACTTCACTCTCTATTTCTAAACTAGGAGTCAGTGTGGTCCGGTCCTGTAACATCATCTTACATTTCGCAGGAGCGAATTGCATAGATTACAGCTCAAGGTGTTCAGAAGCCTCTGCTTTTTATCAGCTCCCTCGCCTAGGAGGACTATATCGTCTGCATATTTTAAGTCAACGATATTATTCACTGTTAACAGACAAGTCGATCCTTGCGTCT